AAATATCACTTGCTGAAGATAATTAAAAAATGGTTGCAGCAGTATCCTGATGGGGAGCTTCCAGGAATTCAAGCTGGATTCAGAAGAGGATGTAGAACAAGGGATATCATTGCTGATGTCAGGTAGATCTTGGTGGAACACAAAGAATATGAGAAAGATGTTTACCTGAGTTTTATTGACTATGCAAAGGCATTCAACTGTGTGGATCATAAAAATTAAGGATAACATTGTGAAGAATGGGAATTCTAGAACACCTAATTGTGCTTATGAGGAACTGGTATATAGACCAAGAGGCTGTTGTTGGAACAGAATAAGGGGCTAGCGAATGGTTTAAAGTCAGGAACGTTGTGTATTAGGGTAGTATCCTTTCACCATACTTATTCATTGTGTGTGGTGAACAAATAATCTGTGAAGCTGGACTATATGAAGAAGAACGTAGCATCAGGATTGGAGGACTCATTAACAACCTGTGATATGTAGATGACACAACCTTGCTTGCTGAGACTGAAGATGACTTGAAGCCCTTACTGTTAAAGATCAAAGACTACAGTTTTCCATATGGATTACACCTCAACTTAAAGAAAACAAAAATCCCCACAATTGGACCAATAAGCAACATCTTTATAAATGGAGAAAAGACTGAAGTTGTCAGAGATTTCATTTTACTTGGATCCACAATCAATGCCCATGGAAGCGCAGCAGTCAAGACATGAGATGACCTAATGCATTGGTCCTAATGGACCTCATTAATGTGTTAAAGAGCATAGATGTCACGTTGAAGACCAAGGTGCACATGACCCAAGCCATGGTATTTTTAGGTGCCTTATATGCATGTGAAAGCTGGACAATGAATAAGAAAGACTGGAAAAGAATTGGGGCATTTGAATTGTGGTATTGGCAAAGAATACTGAAAATATCATGGATTGCCAGGACAATGAAGAAATCTGTCCTCGAAGAAGTGCAGCTGGAATGTTCCTTAGAGGCAGGAATGGCTAGACTTCATCTCATACACTTTGGTCATGTAAGAAGGAACCGGCCCCTAGGGGGGATATTATGTTTGGTGAAGTAGAGGGTGAGTGAGAAAGGGGGAGACTCTCAGGCATGATAGTGAGCTCAAGTACAGAAGACACTGTGAGGATGGGGCAGGACCAGGCAGCATTTCATTGAATCAATGCCCACGGAAGCAGCAGTCAAGACAACAGATGCCACCTGACACCAACAACGCACCCTGCTATTTCACATTCCCCCTGCAGTCTCATACTCTGGGAGGCCTGCTGCTCTTCAGGAGGCTCACGTGGGGGCATGTGTCAATCCCAGCGTACTCCCTGCTACGTGCCGGAATGGGGGTGAACAGTTTCTGTAAGAGAATCCACAGGCTTGGAGAAGAGTTTGGGCTTAGGCTAACAGATAAGGCCTGTAAGGGTTGTGAAGCCAGAGCAGCCCTGGAAGATGGCGTGTTGGGCTGGGTGTAGTCTGGGAAGAAGGAGGGTAATGTGTCCCACAGAAAAGCAGACTGGGTGAGCAGAAGGAAGTACACACAGATGGCTGACAAGAAGGACTTGCCTGGCGGAACCGAGAAGAGCCGGAGTAGATCACCATGGGACCTTAGGCTTTATTGCAGTGGGCAGAGGCGAACTGTTGAGGTACTGCTGGGAAGGCTGACAGCAAAGTTTCACTTTCCCGGGTAGAGAGACCATTTGCCATTGGGACTGCAGGCTCCTGGTTCTGATTGCAGCCAGAGTGTTCTGCCTGAGCCAGCCCGGCAGAGCTGGTGGGCGCTGGGTCCAGGTGTAACTCTTGTGTCCTTTTTTTCAGACGAGGAGCTGGTGGTCAAAGCAGAAGGCCTGGCCGGCACGCCCCTGTGCTCAGAGGCTCCCGTCACTTTCTCCTCTCCTCCAGCAAGCACAGCAAAGGACCCTTTCCCAGGTGTAGCTTTCAAAGGCCAGCAGTCTGCACCCATGATGTCCTTTGGACGTCCAGCCACTGACCTGGCTGAAGCCTCTGAGGGACCGATGACTTTCCCTCCATTAGGAAGCTACCCCCTGCCACCACCCAGTGGGGAGCAGGTATCCTCAGGCCACCATTGTGGGAAGAGCCTTGGCAGGGACGCACTGCTGAGCCACGAGTGCGGCCATGCTGGGGAGTGCCCTCTGCCCAGTGCCCAGTGCCCCAAGCGCTTGGCACAGCCGGCTGCCCTCAGCAGTGTCTCCCAGGACCCTGCCCGCGAGCCCCCTCCCACCTGCCCACACTGCGCCCGGACTTTCACCCACCCGTCTCGGCTCACCTACCACCTCCGGGTACACAGTAGTGCCGAGCGCCCGTTCCCCTGCCCCGACTGCCCCAAGCGCTTTGCCGACCAGGCGCGGCTCACCAGTCACCGGCGGGCCCATGCAAGCGAGCGGCCCTTCCGCTGTCCCCAGTGCGGCCGGAGCTTCAGCCTGAAGATTAGCCTTCTCCTGCACCAGCGCAGCCACGCACAGGAGCGGCCCTTCTCCTGCCCCCAGTGCGGCACCGGCTTCAACGGCCACTCGGCGCTGATCCGCCACCAGATGATACACACGGGCGAGCGCCCGTACCCCTGTGCCGACTGCAGCAAGAGCTTTGTGCGCAAGGAGCACCTGCTGAACCACCGGCGGCTGCACACAGGCGAGCGGCCCTTCCCCTGCGCACACTGTGGCAAGAGCTTCATCCGCAAGCACCACCTCCTGAAGCACCAGCGCATCCACACAGGCGAGCGGCCCTACCCCTGTGTGCACTGCGGCCGCAGTTTCCGCTACAAACAGACCCTCAAGGACCACCTGCGCTTGGGCCCTAATGGGGGCTGTGCACATGAGGGTGGCATGGCCACACAGCCGCCCGATCCCCCTGGGCCTCTCATAACTGAGCTCGAGCCCTCCAGCCTCGGAGTCAACACTGCAGGCCTGGAGGCCAGCCCGTGGTATGGGGAAGGGAGTGGAGGGGCCGGGTTGTGAATCTGTCATGGCTCTCCTCAGTACATAGTGGACACAGAGTCCCAGGGGAAGTACGTGCACACCTGGTGGCATGGGACTTCCCCACAGTACAGGAACACTCCAGGTTGAAGCCCAGAGAGACCTGGGAAGAAGCCTGACATCCCTAGCTTTTCAAAGAAACTCCATAAGCAGGAGGCATGAGATGGTTGCAGAGAGGCTGAAAAGTCACCTGTGGCCACTGGTAATCTGTCACGGGGTCGCAGGCTGGGGATGTGCTGACTCGTGGTAGAGACTGGTGCCTGGGGAGCCTCCAGAGCTCCAGGACGGCCAGAGGCAAGAGGCCGTGTCACTGACGCCTTTCTGTGCGTCCTGGGTAGGGAAGGCGGAAGGGGGAGGGTGCTTGTTGAGCCCCTGTTGATGTTCCCACACTTCTCAGTTCCAGCTAAGATCCGTTCACAAACCTGCGTTGCTGCCTTTCCCTAAAACATGAAAACCCAAGGTTGCCTCCTGGGGTCCCTGGGTCAATTCTTGTGCATTTCATTTAATATTAGGGAATAAGAAGGCTGACTTCTGAGACCAGCTCTTTACTTTGGCTTGAGCTGAACACTCAGGCTCTTCCTGGCATCTCGCTTCTAGATCCCTTTGCCAAACCCTGGTCAAGAATATGGGATCAGGGTTCTAGACCCAGCTTTAAAAGCAAGAAGTACCAGAGCAGTAGCTGGCACATCTCCGAACAGCCTAGAATTCGTGGCTGAGCCTGGAGCTTAGCACTGTTGACAGCAGGTAAGCTGGCTTTTCCATTCCTGATGCCTGACAGACTTGACACCTGTCAGCAGAAATGATCACAGAGCTTTGCAGAAGTGTTAGGGGTTTCAGAAAGCACCAGTGGGCGCTCGGCTTCAACTTTCAGAGTGAGATGATGACAGTAAGGTAACGGCTTTCTTGAGCCACCAGAGAGGACGTTCACCCCGTTTGGCTGCACCCTACTGACAATGGACGGATCAAGGAACTTTTTAGGTAACTTAGCTGGGACATGTGCATGGACAAGGATGGCCTGTTCTGCTCGTTTTGCTTTCAGGGGCTGTGGCGATTGTGTCTGCTTTCCTTTCCAGGGCCATGACTTCTGGGTGTTCTGCTCTGTGCTTTTAGGGGCTGTGGCTACTGTGTGTGCTTTTGTGCAGGTCATTCAGTCAACCTGGGAGCATCTGAGCCTGGTCCTGCTCTTGCTACCTCCCTTGTGACTGGGTCTCAGTCCCTTTCCCTTTTATACATTGCAGATTTTCACCTTCAAAGTAAGGCTGTTGAAAGGAGAAAAGTGAGCCTTTAGGAACTAAAAATTACTCTGTGATATGTTCCTTCTCTATATCCTGTCTGTGTCTCTGGCTTCTATCCAGGCAAAGCCAATAAAACAGAATCAAAGCAGAGACAAATCTTGCCGAAACTTGACTACGCTGATTTCCGTATGTTGTCTTGCTTCGAGCCTAAGGTAGAAGGCAGGAAGAGAAGGAAGAAGCCCCGGGTCTTGGCAGAAAAGCTGTGTATTCCTGCTCGTTACCTTGCGACGACTCCTATGATGCCTACGATGGGGTCTGCGAGGATTCAGACTTCTTTTTTTCTTTTTAATATTTTTTGTGATTTGGGTGAAAGTTTACAGAGCAAGTTCACTTTCCCTTCAGCAGCTCACATACGCTTTGTTTGCTATTTCCCACAGGGCAACAGCTGCCCTCCTACTTCTCCCCATAGTTATCTCTTCCCTGTGTCCTTCCCGCTCATGCACTCCTGTCCCCCAAGCTGAGACTCTCTGTCTACACAGCCCTTCTATTCTCCCATGATCGATCTCTCCAAGGAGTGTATCTGTCTGATGTAAACGTTCAGCCCATATGGATTTAGGCCACTTCTGATGAAGTGGTAAGGGAGGGACTCATTTTTCCTCCACACCTAGCCCAGCCTGCCCAGCCCAGCTGTGCAGAACCAGCCTAGGGAGGCGTGGTCCCTCAGCTGCCGCTCTGCTCTGGGAAGCCTCTGTCTGAACACGCTGTTCCTGATAATCCTAAAGCATCTGCTACGTGCTGACCACAGTCCCAGGAACATGGGAGACGGATGGATGTGAGACTGGCCTGCTCTTGTGCTTAGTCCAAGGCGAGGAAGAAAGCCCAAGAGCATAGAGCGACCAAGACAAACGAGAGGCAGAGCCCCAGCATATTAGGGTTAAAAGCTTTCTAGCCAAAATCTAGACCCCGCCCATAGGGAAACACAAGTATCTGGGGACCCCAGGGGCAAGGTTCCAGCCTAGGGAGTGACCCGCTTCAGCCCTGTCCACACTGATTTCCCTCAAGAAAGGAGAGAAAAATGCAAGTGCCCACCAGCTGGTGACCCTTTTGGGGATGGTTTCAAACATCTGCCAGAGTGCTGGAGGGGGAGTCCCCACGGCAGGTGCGATGGTGGGCCAGACAGCACCCACATTCCTTACCAATGAAAAAAGTCTGCAGATAAGAATGCTGCAGGTAATTTCCATACCCATCTGGAAGGGACTGTAGCCAGCACGGACGCAAACCTTGGCAAAAAGTGAACACAGCTCAAATACCAGTCATTTCAGTAAGAGCCGTGAAGGGGATTGTATGGCCTGTCTTGGAATGATGGGAGTAGGTGTTGCCCTGATCCTCGGCCTGGTATGAACCCGGGAGGTCAGCTCTGGGGGCTCTCTCCTTTCCCTGCACCAGTGCCCACCGGGTAGGATTCCAGGCTAGATCTAAAGAGAGTTCACTGACGATTCAAGGGTGTACGAAGGAAATGCATCAGTGAAGAAGCTAAGCTCCAGCAGAAAAGTGTAGTGTATGGAGATGAACCTCTTGGCCCATCAGGGACTCCTGAGAAACTGTTGAACTCAAGTTGAAGTACCAAAGGACAGCTTTTCATGGCCATATGAGATGGGCTTTTCCCTGGTCCGCCTCTGGCTGAGAAGTCTGCTCTTTCACAAAGAGACACTACCTCTTTGACTCCTTTGAATGCTGGAATGGCTAGGTTTACTCTGCTTACTAAGTTTTCTGTTGGCACCAGCAGATGAACCTCTAGATCAGCCACACCTGGAAGTAACTAGTTATTCAGAACCTGGAGGAAGATGACTGGTCCAGTTCTGCTAGCTTGATGCTGAATACATCTTGGCTGGTCTTGTCTAGCAGTACTCACAGAACTTCCTGCAACGTTAGTGAGAAAGCCTGCAGAGGCTCTTGTACGGGCCCTGCAGGACCTCTCTTCCAAGTGCTTTGAAAAGACATGGGTGTCCAAGGAGCACTTGGGTTCCTGGGAGCAAGAAGCATTCGGTGTCCCAGTGTGCAGAAGCCCTGTTGAGGAAATACCTGAGGTCCCAGACACTTCATCTCGGCTTGGCTTCCTTTTGACAAGAAAGAGGTAGACTGCCTCCCTCTCAGTCTTTGCTTCTAGAAGCAGCTTCATCTCCTGCGGGCTGCTGTGAAGCGGTGGGTGATTTCGGAGAGCTCTTGTGGTGGAGGACCTCTGACCATCATCTTGGGGGTTAGGGGTGCCAGGTGGGTCCCGGTGACCCTGATCTCTTCACTCTACTAGCCAAGGAAGTGGGTCGCTGCTTCTCAGGATTTACACACACAGCTGTTCTTTGTCCTGGGGTATGTTGGACTCTTACAAGCAAAGGATGCTCAAGTTGGGTCAGATTGGGGAAGGAGCACACATGGGGCCTTGGGATGCACTTGGCTTAGTATGGCTGAATGGTTAAGTGGAGCCAGACCTGGAGTCCTGTCCTGGCTTCATCATAGGTGAGGTAGTTGCTGTGTTACCTAACCTTAGTGTTTGTTTCCTGGCCTGTGAGATAGGGATGGTAAAACCTGTGTCTCAGGTGTTGGGCTTAGCACAGAGCCCAATGCGTAGAAGGTGCTCAGCAGAGTGGCTGCCAGGAGACCTGACAGGACCAAGCAGGGACAGGGTGGTGGGACTGGGTTGGACTTGAGGAGAAACTGAGTGGCTGCTGCCTGTCTTGTGCACGTGAGTGCTTGCCATCTTGGCTCTTGACTTTCATCCTTGGCTTCCGTTTGGTGTGCTCAGCTCTTGGACCTCATGGCT